GAGTTGCCAGTCACAAATCCAACAGGTTTTAAATTCAGTTTTCTTCTTCTTAACTAGTTCCCAACACAGACGCTTTCAGGGCTCACGTCGAAGCAACAGCAATAAAGTTGCATGTTTTCATATAATACAGTCTGTATAATTACCTGCCAGTTAGGAGAATATAAAAAATGTTCCCTTGAAATGTGATCGCTACCAATCTAAGATTTGTAGAGATTTGAAGGCGAAATATTAATTCAGTTTTGGCGTGGTTGTTTGTTTTTTTTTTGTCGTGATAGCAATCTGTTCGATAAAGAAATTCAATAATATTGAGGATTTTTTTTTTTTCGAAATAGAATTAAAAATTTCTGATCAGATTGTGTCCTTAATAAATTTAGGCATTCAACAAAGCCACACCAAACCCTTCTGTTTTCTTTGTGAAATAGGCAGAGCAAAGAAAAAAAAACAAAAAAAAACAAAACAAAAAACACAACGGGAAATCTGAATGGCAAGTTCAAGAAGGTTCTCATGATGCTGTTTCTCGATCGTCAACTCTTATTTAGCTTACGGTCACATCTCGTATAATCACCGAAGTTAAGCAAGGTCGTGCCTGGTCAAGTACCTATATGAGTGACCACTTTGGAATACCAGGTGCATTGAAATGCGGGTTGTATAATGACTCAAAATCGTTAGTGGTGAGCTAAGATTCAATTCCTGTACGGTTTGTTATATCCATTTGGGCTCCATTACGAATGAATTCACTTCTTCTCCCCCAATTATGGATTAATAAGTAAGACTTGTATCACTAAACCATTATTATGTAAAAAAAAAAAAAAAAAAAAAAATCTTACGATTTAAAAATACTTTCAGGCATTAAATAATCGGTAAACCGTAAAAAAAAATCAGTCAATTTTTATTTCCACTTCTTCGTACCAGAATTTGGTTTTAAAAAATATTTTTTGGAAGCAATGAATAAAATCCAGTATTTTTTTCATTCTTCTTCTTCTTCTTTTTCTTCTTCTTCTTCTGCTTTTCAGGGCTCATGGCTCTCCGCAACTTCCTGTCCTTCCTCTTCAGTTTAAAACCCCCTGTTCTGCTAATCATTTACACTAGCTCTTTAAGTAGATTGTACGCTACTTTCCTCTGTTCCTCTTGCCTTCAATATGTTCCGTGAGTGTCAAATTTTCTAAGCATCCCTTCCTCATTAATTGTCTTAGTATACGTATGTGTCCCTTTTCTTTCCAATTTCTTTAAAAATTCGTCGTTGGTCATTTTTCTTGGAAATCTCAATATCCTCCTGTAGAACCATATTTCTGTTGCCTCAAATCATTTCTTCATCTGTGATGAGATTGTCCAGCATTTACTACTATATAGGAGGACTGATATAACCTAATATCAAACGGAATAATAGACTGATTGATTGAATTTTACGGTCTATCGGTCTTTTGCAGATTATTTAAAGCCAAAAATAATTTTTAGATTATATTGGAGATAATAATAATTTGCTGATAAGAGTTTTACTAGTCAACCCATAGCTGTGGGGAGAAGAGGTGAAATCATATATTAAAATATATGCTATTATATATATATATAAAAAATGTTCAGTAGTCTTGTCTTTGTTTCCACTAAAATTTTCTTGTATCTTAATACTTTGCTTTACTTTTGGGGTGGGGTATTTTGCTATCTTAATGCACCTTCGGATTTTGGAGTCGCATTTTCCGTCCTCTGTTAAAACACTTCTCAGATTTTAAAATTTCTACACTTGTTTAATTTTGGTATCGCCAATTTGGAATTCGCATGTTGGGATGATAAATTGTAAGTATTTTGAATGATCTTCAAATTCGACGCCTAACTGAGGAAGTTCAGTTCAAAGAGTTTATGAGTAAGACCGAAAAGAATGCATGACAGACACTTATCTCTGTCAGAATACTAGCACTCTACTGAGCACCAGTACTGATGCAGAATTTTAAGACTCTTAGATAACACATCACCATCATAATCATCAGAGATCTTTGGACATGGAAGCACACTGTAAATCAGCATAATGTCACACCTTCAGAATCTACTCTGGTCCATTTGTTTTACTTTAACAATTTCAGAAGCAACCTCTGATTTCAACTACGATTATGTTGAGTTGATTTTTGTTACAGTTCAAGTAAGTGCCCCAATATGGATATATACGGCTTTGAATTCAGAATGCACCCTCTCCTCTACTGGTTAACAACTATTTAAATCATAGTTAAGCACCTCTAAATTTCGTGATGACCAGAGAATGGCAGATGATCTCTCATCCGACCTACCTCTATCACAGTGGGATAAAAACTGGCCGATGACATTCACTGCCTCGAAAACAAAACCAGTTACAGTCCCTCATCGCCGATCGGGTCCAAACTACCAACAGTCACGATGAATAGATGTCCTCTCGGGAAGGCTCCGTGCATTGAGCGACTATTAGGCATTACTCACCTCAGACATCAGTTGGAACTCATACATACGATCGCTAAAGATGCATGAAACATGATCGGTTCTCTGTAGCAGTCTCCTCTACCTTTACAAGAGCCAGATCATGCGTAAAATGGAGTCCTACTGTCATATTTAGGCAGGAGCTGTCCAGTCATCACATTCAAGTTTCGACAGACTCCAAAAGCGTCTGCGCATCCTTGTGGGTGAAATAATATTTTTCACCGTGCAACCTATCTCACGCGGACGGGGTGTGGCAATCCCATCGCTGCGCTATTGCTATTTCCATGAAATGTGCTCGATTGAACTACATTCTTAGCTCCACGATTTCTAACCTTCACCACTAGGACACGCCATGTCACCCACATTGTAGAAAATCACCCACGTTCCAGTCATATTCCATTGGTGTGAAGCAAATTCCCCTCGAATAGGTTCTTCTCACGAACCATTACTCTGTGGAATCGACTTCCAATCGGATGCTTCCTCGATCACTACAATCTTAACCTGCTCAGGTCTAGGGACAACCGTTATCTTACCCACATATCCGCATCAACTGTACCTCTTACTCTGTAACTTTCTACTTCAAATGCCCCCATGGCCTTGTACAGAGTGAACCTCACAATTTTAATTATTTAACACATAGCTGAGATTCATACATTTTGTAAGGTTATTTGAGCACAAGTGGAAATAAAAATCTCGAACTGAATTCGAAATCAGCTCTCCGACTTCTCATTCCAAGACTTTAACCATTAAACCACCCACACATCCTGGTCAACATATGTATATCGAGTAAAAATAAATATTATTAGATAGCACTTTGATTGTTTCGCTAAGAATTTTAAAGACTGCAGCGAGGGAAAACGCGTAAGTTTCTATTACGATTTTGGTAGTAAAGGAGAAGAATATTGGTGACAATAGAATATACACTTAACAGACGATTGGTTCAGATGAGACTTGCCTGGAGAAAAAAAAAAACTGCACCGAAAATTGGGTAAATATATGTTACACAATACTGTACATCTGTATTGATTCACAGTGTTTATTAAAGTAATTTTAAGTATTATTAAGATGGTTTAGAATTTCAGGATTTCTCCGTCTACCAAATGCTGAGAATTTTTACCAAAAAAATAAGTTTTTCTTTGACTGAAATAAGCACCAGAGAAAAGTCTGGCGTACATAACTGTGATAAAGACTCGTCATTTTCAAATTCAGCAATTGCTAAATTATATATATATATATATATATATATATATATATATATATATATATATACATATACACACACACACACACATATATATATATATATATATATATATATATATATATATATATATATATAAAGGTGCGATGGATAAATTGCTGTCAAAATTACGCAAAAATGAAAATAACACAGACATATTATTAGAGAAGATATATTTATGAAAATTACACAAAAATATCTTAAAATTTTAAAGAGTAAATTAATTCGGTAAAATCGTTATTGGCTTCAACCACAACCTCCAGACGACTTTGGAATCTCTTGCAACTCTTCTGGACCGTTTCCTTTAAGTTGGTGAATGCTGGCATAATGTTTGCCTTCTGTTCGTCTTTGGTGTTACAAAGAGTTTTGTTGGTCTCTTGTTCAACTGCGCCCAATACATAATAGTCAAGGGGGTGGCAGTATAGGCAGCTAGGTGGCCAAATGCAAGGGGTAATGTGGTCGCAGAAAATGTCTGAGAGGCGATGACTGGGTTTTCCTGCTTGTGTAGCATGGTGCAGAGTCCCGTTGCAAGACATAGGGTCTACCAGCAGCCGTCCTCTTGACCTGAACTACCTAAGGAATTGATGTAGGCTTCCATGTTGAATCCTTGTGGGAAGATAAATGGAGGCATGGCGTCGCTATCACTTGTGAGCAATTCAAACGCCCTTATGTTGACTGGATATATCATTCAACACTTTCCGAATCTTCTGCACTGTTCTTTGATTGGACCTCCAAGAACTGTGAAATGTTCGCATTGAAACTTCCGGTGCGTAACAGTACAGATGGTGTCCAACTGACCCTACTGTGCAGTTGACATATATATATATATATATATATATATATATATATAATATAATATATAATGAAAAAGCTTAGACACTAATATACCATGGTCATAATTTATTCCATTGGAATCGTAAATACGATCCAATTCATCAGACCTACAAATAAAAAAAAACCCAGAAAAAACAACTCCAATTTTATTTTTTATTCACGGAAATAAAAAATAATTTTTTTTTTTTATTCCAGGAGTTTTTTTTTCTTTTTGAATTTGTAGGTCTGATGAATTGGATCGTATTTACGATTCCAATGGAGTAAATTATCACCATGGAATATTAGTGATTAAGCCTTTTTATTATATCCTTACTCTGTCCTTGACATTGAGTTCTACCTGGATTCTATCCTCTTGGAATTATTTTATATACAAATATATATGTATGTGTATGCATGTATATATATATATATATATATATATATATATATATATATATATATATATATTTATATATATATATATATTTATACATTTTATGATATATGTATGCGTATATTTACCACTAATATTATCAATTATCTATCTATCTATCTATCTATCTATCTATCTATCTATCTATCTATCTATCTATATATATATATATATATATATCAGTAATTGTTATGATGAATTTTCGTCTGTGGGCCCTACACTATGAATTTAAGCGAAGTACTCGATTGGCGGAAGGATTTAATCTTTTTACAATTAACAATGGATTCTCTCTTGTGGAACTCATTTTTGGCTTCTTGCTTTCCAGTCAAGTTTGATCTTCAAAAATGTAGAGGAAATGTTAATCATTATGTTCCTCTGTCTTCTCAATTTCTGTTCTTTTATTGCTCTTTAATCATATTTTTTATTTTCTCATATTCTTTTACACTCTGTAACTAACTTGCGACTTAGTGGCTTTGTATCCTTGCTTTGGGTGAAATAATTAAAAAAAATACAAATCAGTATCATCTATCAGACTACGTCAATTTTTTTCGAGAATTTACCGTATTTCATGGCGAGCAAAATTTGTGTCAAGAAAATGCCCAATAGAAAACTACAGCGACCATAGTCAATAAACTAATCACAGACAGTAAACAAATTCGAAATTTGTAACATGATAAAATCCGTAAAATACGACATTTTAATATTCCGAGACGTGACAATTTGAATATATTAAGGATAAAATGTTCATTTTGTTTTCCCTCGCGTCGGGCTGACGACTAATCACGTTGAAACACCGGTTCGCTTACGATCACCAAAGTTAAGCAATGTCGAGACTGGTCAGTATCTAGATGGTTGACGCTTTCGGAATACCAAGGGCTGTAAGCTTGATCGTGCGGGTAGTGTTATGGCTAAAGGGTCAGAATTGGAAATTGTGAACTGAATTCCAGTTCCAGCCAGGTTCGTTATATTCGGTAACGCGCAAATATTCTTGGGAAATGTATGATTTCACCTCTTCTCCCCACAGCTATGGGTAGACTAGTAAGACTCTTATCAGCTAATTATTATTTCCAACATAACTCTTATAATCTAAAAATTATTTTGGGATTTAAATAATCTGCAAAAGACCGATAGACCGTAAAATTCAATTAATAAAGTCTATTATTCCGTTTGTTCACCGAAAGTAATCAGTGTCAAGACTGGTCAGTACTTTGATAGGGCCCACTTAGATATGCACTGTAAGTAATATCAGTGATTAATGCGCAAGAATTATTAAATCCGATTACGGAAATTTAGACAGAAAAGTATTTCGATTACATATATGTAAATATTTCCATCTGCCGGCGATAAATTAGCTGTGTATTTTTTTCCTTTCCATTATGTCGGCATCTGCAATGGTTATTTTTATTAATCAATTGACTTCTGCAATATACGTCTATTTAATTATACTTGAGGAAATGTAAAAATTTAGTAAATTTAAAAAAAAATGTTGTTTTCGTTGAAATGAAATTGCCAAATGTGTTTATTGTCTGAAATTTGAAAAATTAACCATTTCTGGAAAGAAGAATGTAAAATTGATGCACTTGATAGATAGTATATTATATTCATCAGCACAAACAAACAAAGTACGTATCCAAATGTCTGCATTTAATGTTTGCCTATCGTTTTATATGTGTAGACTTTATATATATATATATATATATATATATATATATATATATATATATATATATATATATATATATATAGTATAGGGAGGATTTTAGATAATTATTGATTATCTCAAATCCTCCATTTCTATTACTTGTATATCTTTACTTGAGCCGGTTTCTAATGTTCTGGATGGAGCGGCTTGGGGATAGAGGTCGTGGCTCGTGGGGGCACAGTCCTATGGGTAAGGGAAACTTGGATGGGTTACACCACGGAATTTGTGAAGAGCGGCGCCATATTGAGACTAATTAGTGACTTCTTCGTCGCCAAGGCCGGTTGGTACAGTTGGCGTGAGTCTTTTGTCCTATCGTAACAGTACGGGTTCAATTCTCGCTAGTGGATGCGCATTGCTGATGTGTCCCAAATATAGGACGAAACGGACGTCCATTGTTTCCTGCATTCTATTGGGGTTTCCTCTAGACTCGATGAATTACTGAATTATGATATATATATATATATATATATATATATATTTAGGGTAATGGGGTAGTGGATCATTGTTAAATATAACAGACATTCTATTATGCTTGATCATGAGCCGTTCTATACTTCTTATGGTTGCTTGAATTTCGGGTGAAAATAAAGACAAAAATCGTCCAATATCGGGGTAATTTTTATTATGTTGTTCCTTGATCTAAACGTTCGGATCATATGAGTCATCTTCAGACTGGTTATATGGAGATTTATAGAAAGATATTAACCACCAAAGACGATTTTCTGTTACGTTGACATAGAAAATTGCTATGTGACGATAACGGTAGCGGAATGGCAGACGCAAGTCTTAAATTCATGATCTGCTTTTATGACGTCGTACCTCGTGAAAAACCGAAATATTAACAGCAGAACCATATGTATATATAAAATACCTTTTATTTTCGCCGTAAATTAAAGCAACTCTACGAAGTTTAGAAAGGCTCATGATCAAACATAATAGATATGAACTGTCTGTTATATTTAGCAATATATGTTTGAATATATTACTATATACATTGTTCGGATTGTCGTCCTGATCTTTATTGTCATATTCACGGCGTTTCAGCAGTTGTACGCCCCGGCCTGCATCAGGTGATATACATTGGAATTTTGAACCGAACCTTTTATTTTGTCCATCGGGATTGATTGTTCTAGTTCCACGTGCCATGCCTTATCTGGATATTTACTCAACTCCACAAGTTTTGTTCTTCTCCGCTGTGCCAAGGTTTTGAACTCAGAACACTTTGGGCTAAGACATTGGATTAATTTAACCAGTGTTTTATTCAGTGTGCCATATTTATCTCCAAGGAAACATGGCCCAGTGCATAAAAGTCGAATGACTTGGCTAAAACAGTTGTGAGTTCAATACATAGCCACAGCAGAGGTGAACAAAAACTTGGACAGTTCAGTTGCTATAGTGATTTTCCAAACCCGGCATAGATGTGGCACAAGGCCGAAAGTATGGGCCACCCAGTGAGGATCGAACTCACTACTCAGTCGTAATTGATCTAGCAAGACAAACTTTCTAACCATTACACCACGCCGAGGTGCCCACTAGAAATTTTCCAAGAGTAGCTTGAATGTGGCACAAGGCCGAAAGTACGGGGCATCCAGTGAGAATCGAACTCACTACTCAATCGCAATTGTTCTGGCAAGACAAGCTTGCTAGCCATTACACCACCATTGAGGTGGTCAAGTTGAGTTTGCTATAATACTGGAACTGACATGTCCCAAAACATCATGGTATGTGGTACTAGATCAATCTACCCTGGCGGACGAAATAAAGGGTTCGATTCGAAATTCCAACGTATATCACAGAAAGCCTGGCCGCATATCGGCAGAAACGCCGTGAATATCACAATAAAAACGAGGGCAACAGTTCGAACAATGTAAATAGCTACAATATCTCATCTCATAATATATATATATATATATATATATATATATATATATATATATATATATATATATATATATATATAATATATATATATTACATTCATTCAGAAAAGTAAATTAGTAAAGTTAATTATATAAAATGTCGAAATCACTTCGTTAACTAAATTTTAAAGATGCATTAACCTACCAATCACTCGATGAATGTTATGATCCTTATTTAAAAAAAAAATTATAAACTGTATTAGAAAGTACTTGCATATTTAAGGACGACCTAATACAGGTCGATCTCCGTTGACCCACCAAACCAGACCCACAATTAATGCAGGAGGTGGTTGAGTCCACCACCTGTTTACGTACCGGGTGTAGCAACTAACATCCTGTGAAAGGCTATTCTATACTCGCTCACTCCTATGATGCAAACCGCTGCACTGATTCTATCTGTTTTGACACCGAGTACAAAGCCTACTTTGCAATATCTTGGTCGATGTGATATGTGGTGGATGGCAACGTTTATAGCCTTATGAATATTGTTGGATTAAGAAAAAGTGGTTAAAATTGCATATGCATACATATATATATGCGCTCTATATCCATGTGCACATAGATAAATACACTGTGTACACACACACACACACACACACACACACACACACACACACACACACACATATATATATATATATATATATATATATATATATATATATATATATATATTGATAATATTAGTGCTCAATATATATACCTTTCCAAGAGGATAAAATGCAGCTAGAGCTCTATGTACAAGACAGAGCAAGAATATAATATAAAAGCCTCAAACACTTATATTTCATGATTATAATTTATTACATTAGAATTGTATTTACGGTCCAATTAATCAGATCTAAAATTTATAAACAAAAAAGAAAATATATCTCCGTGTTTAAAAAAAAAACGAACTTTTAAATAAATAATAAAGAAAAATTACCTCAACATAGAGGATAGACTAATTTATGCCCTTCTGTATGCGGCTATCAGCAGCCCCTAAGTGTCTGTCTCGGAGCATTGTTTTAAACTTATTTTGAGTGTCAGTCCTCCTCTGGTAGACGCCTTGTTAATGAGAAAAAATGCATATGATCTGTAATAATAGATTTATCATGCTCTCTGTGGATCATTTTTAATGATTAATATTGCTAGGATCCACCCCGATTATATAGCAACGGATCGATTGTCTGTACGATATATATATATATATATATATATATATATATATATATATATATGGGACTGAACATTTGTAATGGACTGGACATTTTTCAGATTGGTTTTATAATCTTTCCGTTGTTGTTGATTTGAACATAATCAACAATCTGCTTCAGTTTGATGTTGTGCATGAAATGACAATGCGACCAACATATGAGAAGATTAGGAAGGCAATTCAAGAGGTCATTACTGGGAAGGCACCTGGACTGGAGGGAATTCCTCCTGAGGTTCTCTTACATGGAAGAAACGAAATGGCAAGAAGAATACACCATCAAATTTCAGACGTTTGGAATGGATTGATGCCATTCTTGCCTCCCTGTATAAAGGGAAAGGTTAAAAGTCAGATTGTAGCAACTACAGGGAAATAAGCTTACTTGAAGCTGTTGGTAAATTTTGCCAAAATCTTTCTCAATCGCGTCCAGAATCACATCTGTTCTGAAGTGATACCAGAGAATCAATGTGCGTATCGCACTGGTAGAGGCACAATGGACATGATCTTCACAGCCCGAAAACTGGTAGAAAAGTGCATTGAACACTATGCCCCGCTTTACTAAGTCTTCGTTCACCTAAGTAAGGCGTTTAACACTGAATAGGATCACCTTGTAGACAATTCTAAAAAAACTAGGTTGCTCACCTGAATTTTTCAGGCTGCTTGAAGAGCTGCAAAGCAACATAAAATCTAGGTAGAACACCAATGGTACCCTGAACCAATTTCTGTTAGGAATGGTGTGAAACAGGGCGATTTACCTGCCTTTGGAAACTGTAGCATTGGTGTTTATTTGCGTTTCCGAACTAGCGGGAAAGTTTTTGACCTACGTAGAGTTAATGCTTCCACAAAGGTGTTTCAGTTATTCGTGAGCTTCTTTATACTGATGATGCCGACCTCATGGCTTATACCGAAGAAGATATGCAAACCATTATAAATCTTTTTGCTGACGCATGTAAGTCTTTAGACTTACCGTCAGTTTAAAAAAGACCAAGGTAATATTCACACCACCTCCTGGTCAACCGTATCGTGAACCAAACATACTTGTGGATAGTTGGAGGCTAGAGGTGGTGGATAGTTTTGTATACCTTGGAAGCACACTCTCACGAGATGGGACACTAGATGCTGAAATATTTCACCGCATCGAGAAAGCTACTAAATTTTTTGCATACTTGGAAAAAGCGGGTGTGGTCTGACAGAAACATCACACTTAACATCAAAGTAAAGTTTTATGAGTCATGTGTTTTGACAGTCTTTTTCTATTCATCACAAAGATGGACAGCATACAGATGTCATATTACCACCCTTGAAAGAGTACACCAAAGGTTCCTCAGAAGAATCATGAATATTTCGTGGCAGTCTTTTCTGTCTGACATAGAATTTCTGGAGAAAGCTAATATCCGTCGTATTGAGAAGCTAATTCTTGTAACCGAGAAAGTGTTACTGAATGAGGAATAACTAAATCGGAGGTTGGAAATGAAAGTAATCTTTATAACATCAACACAATACAATACGCGCCAGCGGCGTAAAGTAGGTAAACCACTGCTAGTGGTGGAATACTTAGCATAT